TGACTAGCCTTATATGTTGCCTATCACCTCCAATTTGTATCACACTCTAACTCATTCTCTATCTCTCTTGGTAATATCCAAAACACCGCGTGTTAGTTCTTGCACGTGACGTGTTAGTTCTAGGCTCTTGGGCTCTCAAGTTAGTTCTAACTTGCCCCATATTAGTTCTAACTTGCCCCATATTAGTTCTAGCCCGCCCCATATTAGTTCTAGCCCGCCCCATGTTAGTTCTAGCTAGTTCTAGCTCTAATTTATCTTAGTTCTAGGCTCTTGGGCTCTCAAGTTAGTTCTAACTTGCCCCATGTTAGTTCTAACACGTCTCATGTTAGTTCTAGCTCGTCTCATGTTATTTCTAGCTAGTTCTAACTCTAATTCATCTTAGTTCTAGGCTCTTGAGAACGGAGAGAAGCTCCTCCCACCTCCAACAGAGCCTACCGAGACACCTCGACGACCTCGACAACCTGCTCCCACCTCCGGCAAGCCCAGACAATGGCGAAAAGTTCCGAACAACGAAGAACAAACCCGAACAGCGAGAAATTGCACTGCAGAAATATGTAGTTTTATGCTGACTTCGCACGTACTTTCTGATCACCTCCAATCTTCGTTTCCGTCGATTTCTTTTTTGGTGACTAGCCCTACATGTTGCCTATCACCTTCAATTTGTATTATGCTCTAACTCATTCTCTATCTCTCTCGATAACGTTTGAAACATCGCTCGATGGCAGCAGCGAGCAGAAAACAGTAGCACCGTGCCGACTTCGCACGCGTTTTTCGACCACCTCCGGTCTCCGTTTTCACCACCGTCTTCGTCGGTGTGTAGCCCTTTATATTATCTATCACACGATATCTTCCTTTTACTTGCGTTCATTTTCTACCTCTAGTTATATCGCTTTGAATATTATTAGTTAGAACTAACACGGGGTGGGCTAGAACTAATATGAGGTGTGTTAGAACTAACATGGGGAAAGTTAGAACTAACTTGAGAGCTCAAGAGTTTAGAATTAAAATGAATTAGAGCTAGAACTAGCTAGAACTAACATGAGACGAGCTTGAATTAATATAGGATGGGTTAGAACTAACATGGGGCAAGTTAGAACTAACTTGAGAGCCCAAGAGGCTTAACTAAGATGAATTAGAGCTAGAACTAGTTAGAACTAATACGGGACGGGTTAAAACTAACATGGGGTGTGTTAGGACTAACATGGGGCAAGTTAAAACTAACTTGAGAGCCCAAGAGCTTAGAACTAAGATAAATTAGAGCTAGAACTAGCTAGAACTAACATGTGATGGGCTAGAACTAACATGGAGCGGGCTAGAACTAACATGGGGCAAGTTAGAACTAACTTGAGAGCCCAAGAGCCTAGAACTAAGATGAATTAGAGCTAGAACTAGTTAGAACTAATAATATTCGAAGCGATATAACGAGAAGTAGAAAATGAGCCCAAGTAAAAGGAAGATATCGTGTGATAGACAATATAAAGGGCTACACACTGGCGAAGACGGTGATGAAAACGAAGACCGGAGGTGGTCGAAAAACGCTCGCGAAGTCGGCATGGCGCTGCTGTTTTCTACTCGCTGCTACCGTCGAGTGATGTTTCGAACGTTACCAAGAGAGATAGAGAATGAGTTAGAGCGTGATACAAATTGGAGGTGATAGGCAACATATAGGGCTAGTCACCAAAGAAGAAATCGATGAAAACGGAGATTGGAGGTGATCAGAAAGTGTGTATGAAGTTGGCACAAAACTGTAGTTTTCTGCAGTGCAATTTCTCGCTGTTCAGATTTGTTCTTTGCTGTTCGGAGCTTTTCGCCACTGTTCGTGCTTGTAGAAGGTGGGAGGAGGTTGTCGGGGTCATCGGGGTGTCTCAGTGGGCTCCGTCGGAGGTGGGAGGAGCTTTTCTCCTTTCCCAAGAGCCCAGAACTAAGATAAATTAGAGTTAGAACTAGCTAGAACTAACATAGGGTGAGCTAGAACTAACATGGGGTAAGTTAGAACTAACATGAGGTAAGTTAGAACTAACTTGAGAACTTAAAAGCTTAGAACTAAGATGAATTAGAGCTAAAATTAACATGGGGCGGGCTAGAACTAACATGGGGAGGGCTAGAACTAACATGGGGAAAATTAGAACTAACTTGAGAGCCCAAGAGCCTAAAACTAAGATGAATTAGAGCTAGAACTAGTTAGAACTAACAATATTCGAAGTGATATAATAATAAGTAGAAAATAAACCCAAGTAAAAGGAAGATACCGTGTGATAGACAATATAAAGGGCTACACACCGACGAATACGGTGGTAAAAACGGAGACCGGAGGTGGCCGGAAAACGCGCGCTAAGTCGGCACGGCGCTGCTATTTTCTGATCACTGCTGCCGTCGAGCGATGTTTCGGACATTACCGAGAGAGATAGAGAATGAGTTAGAGTGCGATACAGATTGGAGGTGATAGGCAACATATAGGGCTAGTCACCAAAGAAGAAATCGGCGGAAACAGAGATTGAAGGTGATCGAAAAGTGCGTGCGAAGTCGGCACAAAACTGTAGTTTTTTACAGTGTAATTTCTCGCCGTTCGGGTTTGTTCTTCGCTGTTCGGAGCTTTTCTCCACTGTCCGGGCTTGCCGGAGGTGGGAGGAGATTGTCGGGGTCATCGGGGTGTCTTGGTGGGCTCCGTCGGAGGTGGGAGGAGCTTTTTTTGTTCCCAAGAGCCTAGAACTAAGATGAATTAGAGCTAGAATTAGCTAGAACTAACATGAGACGGGCTAGGACTAACATGGGGTAAGTTAGAACTAACTTGAGAGCCTAAGAACCTAGAACTAAGATGAATTAGAGTTAGAACTAGGTAGAACTAACATGGGGCATTTCATTCATAGAGATACATTAATACACAATTTCGTTCTTTCTTAATTACGACATTTCTCTTCATTCCCCTTCTACTCTACTTCTCCTTACCTTTCTTTTTTCTTTTTTTTTTCTTTTTTTCATTTTTTCTTCTAGCTAATGGATTAATGCTCTGTGCGTCTTGGCCTGGTGACTAAAAAAACATCCATAACAAAATCGGTCACAATTTGCAAATACAGAAGCTCATAAGGATAAATCCACAGTCATGTGAGAAATTAAAAACGTAGATATATTGTCAACATGAACCCTCAATTGATCAAAGTCATTTCAAATAAAAAAAAGAAAAAGTAATATCCAAATCTCAACGGGGCACAACAACATCATCATTTACGGTAAAGATCAATCTCAAAAATCAACCTACTCTCGTAGCATCATCTTCTTAAATTCATCAAAGCATAAAACATCATCTCCATTAACATTATACCTTCAGATCATCTCCCTGCACTCCTCAACAGTCTTTAATTGCCCGAGCTTTTCGAGCGTTTTCCTCAAGCTCTGCGACGACGATCTACGGCGAGGGAGCGACGGCGATCTACGGCGACGAGGACGGGCGGAGGTGGGGAGGGGAGGAGACGGCAAACTCGAGGGGAGCCTTGGGGGCCTGAGCGGAGGCGGCGATGACGAGGAGGGCGAGGGCCAGGGTGACGAGCTTGAGAAAGCCCTTAGTTTTAGAGAGAGGGGAGAGAGAGAGAGAGAGAGAGAGAGAGAGAGAGAGAGAGAGAGAGAGAGAGAGAGAGAGTGAGTGCTGGGGAGAGAGAGAAAGAGAGAGAGAGAGAGAGAGAGAGAGAGAGAGAGAGATGATATGAGTGTTGGGTCTGAGGGATTGAGGAGAGATGATAAGGATAATTTGGGAATTTTAGTTTAGCTGGCATGTAATAATTGATAAAAAAAAGGCTACAGTACAAAGTTTCACACATCAAGGGGCTGATCCACATGGGGAAAACTATGAGGGGCCTCGTCACATGAAGTTTCTGCTTTTGGGGCCTGTACACATTTTTCCCAAAAGACTTTCTACAATCGTAGACCCAATAACTTTAGTATATATATAAATTTAGTCTTAAACTACTTCGACTAACATTACTGTAGTTAGAGGAAAATTAGGCTCAACCTAGTATCCTTTTGTAATTGCCAAATAGAGATTGTTATTATCTTATCATTGATGTTGTTCAGGGTATTTACAATTTTAATGAGAATACCTTCAGAAAGACTGTTTTCAGGTGAGTAAGCAAGACTCTTTTCAGGAGAGTCGAATCCACTGAAAGTAGTTGTTAAAGTAAAATTCTATCCTCTAAATATTTGAAGTATCAAAACAAGGCTCTTAGTTCTATTTATCCTAGTTCTATTTTTTTAATCTAGTTTTAGTTGATCAAAACTACATAATTTTACCCTAGTTCTATATCTAATTGACTAATACCATAAAAACTAATCTTGTAGATTATCCTAATTCTAGTTCTGAGTTTCACTTGATTAACCATTCTTCTTAATCCTTCGTTCTTCAACTTTTTTATTGAAGGGGTCACTCTCCGAAAATGTTAAGCTAAAGATTTAAACGTTAAAGCCCGCATTGGCCCAACAAGCATGCAGGAAATAGGCCCTTCTCATGAGCCCAACGTCTACGTTCGCAATTGCTCCGAGCGATGCCCACTCCCTCGAGCAAATAGGCGGGGGGCATGAGCAAAATACTCAGCTGCCCGTTGTCATGCCCTCCTTCCTCCTCCTCAAATCCCCTGCGATCCCCGTCAAACCCATTCGACTAATCCATCCATCTTCCTCTCTCCCCTCCAGGCCAAGTTCCAGGCCCAAGCCCGCCCTTTCCGGACTACAGCCCGAAAAAGGCCCACCATCGCCGACGCCGAAACTCGTCGCCAGCCTCACACCGCCTCAAGCAGCGGCCGCCGCTCCGACCCATCCACCGTATCCTCACCCCGTTCTCCCGCCAATTCCGCCCCGACCACCTCCTGTGGGCCCTCCCCACCTCCGCTCCGACCCGCCCTCGTCCTCGCCCTCCTCCGGTGGGCCCGCTCCAGGGCCCACCACCTAACCTCCGAGCCCACGCCGTCGCAGCGCCACGGTCTCTCTCTCCTCCCTAACGTGCGCGTCCCTTGGCCCGCAGGTTTATCCTCGGCGGGCTTATCTCTCACAGGCATTTCCTCGAGCAGCTGATCTACACCTACAAGTACTGGTGCTCCCACCCCTCTGTGTTCGATCTCGCGTTCCGGGTATCTGTTAGGGCTGGGAAGTTCGACGAGGCCAAGGCTTTGTTCCGTCGGCTGACTTCTTATGGGATCGTCGTCTCAGCGGATTCGTGCAACGTGCTCCTGTCCAAGCTTCATCTTGACGGGATGCTCGCTGTTTTCTTGGAGTTTCGCGATTCGGGTCTTCGATGGAATGCCGCGTCGTATAATATCGTGATCCATGCTCTGTCTGTGGTCGGAGAAGCCCGTGAAATTTTGCAGCAGATGGCGGTGAAAAATAGCACTGATTTTGATGATGTACCTGACCCTGATGTAATAAGTTACAGCACCCTGATTGATGGGTATTGCCAAGCTGGGGAGCTTCACAGAGCTCTGCTTTTGTTCGAAGAAATGTGCACGAGAGGTCTAAGGCCAAACCCTTTTGCTTATAATAGCGTAATTTCTCTCCTTTGTAAGCAAGGGAATTTAGTGCAGGCAGAGAAATTGCTAGCGGAAATGTTGGGTCGAGGTATAGCTCCCGATACTGCCTTGTACACAACAATGCTGCATAGTTTTTGCAGCAGAGGAAACCTGTCGACAGCTTATCGCCTTTTCCGTGATATGAAGGGCAGGGGTCTGGAGCCGGATTCTGTAACTTATACTGCTCTGATTTCTGGACTTTGCCAGAATGGAAAAATGCTCGATGCTCATAGATTCTTCAAGGAGATGTTGAGTATGGGCTTGAGTCCTGATGAAGTTACGTACACTTCGCTCATCGATGGCTTTTGCAAGTGTGGAAAGATGCAGGATGCTTTTAACCTTCACAATGAAATGGTACAGAAGGGTTTGACGCCGAATGTTGTGACTTACACTGCTCTTTCGGATGGGCTTTGTAAACAAGGGGATGTCGAGGGTGCAAACGAGCTTTTGCATGAGATGTGTAGAAAGGGTTTGGAATTAAATGTTTGTACATATAATTCACTAGTAAATGGTCTTTGTAAGGTTGGTAACATACAGCAGGCGATAAAGACCATGGAAGACATGGAGGCGGCAGGGCTCGCTCCTGATACATACACTTATACTACACTGATGGACGCTTTTTGTAAGTCCGGTGAAATTAGTCGAGCTCACAGTCTCCTTCGTGAGATGCTTGATAAAGGAATCCAACCGAGTGTTGTGACTTTTAATATTTGATGAAATGGGATTCTGTGTTGGCATGAGTGTTATGACTAGAGGGGAAAGAGACCTTTTGGAGATGGACTGTAGAGAAGAGTGTAGCAGCCTTAATGCGACAACCTATAATTCTCTTATGAAGCAGTATTCTATAAATAAGGATATGAAAGCCACAACAGATATATATAGAGGAATGTGCACGAACGGGGTGATGCCAGATGAGAAAACATACAATATTTTGATCACAGGGCACGCAAGGTCTAGAAATATGAAGGAGGCATGCTATTTTCACAAAGAGATGGTGGAGAAGGGATTTAGTCTCAGGCCTACTTCTTATAATGCCCTCATCAAAGGGCTCTTTAAGAAGAAAAGATTGATAGATGCAAAGAGTTTGTTCGAAGAGATGAGGGCTAACGGGTTTTCTGCTGACAAGGATATATACGACATATTCATCGATGTCAATTTTAGTGAAGGGAATATTGAGAAGACTCTTAAGCTTTGTGATGAAGCAATAGAGAAAGATCATGGTGTTTATGACACTGATAAAACGTAAGCAGTAAGGAGAGATGTCGAAAAAATTTTGGTTGGCTTCTGCAGGATGAGATGATTCCAGTTAGCAAGATCATGGCCTGTGGCTTACTGGTGATGTTTGGATCAAGGTTGGAGATGATGTTGAGCCCAGCACTATTCCTGCGCCTGCATTATCGTTGCTGCAGAGTAGAGACTTCTACGCACTGCTCATTGCCACTGACAACTAGAGTGAGTCTGTTTTTTTTCCTCCTACCATTCATTAACTGATGTACTTATACTGGCAATAATTCTAGATTCATTATTGCTGTATATTATGATATCAAGGGTATCTTCAAACAGATATACTACTTGAGAACAAAAACAGAAAAAGGACAAGACTTCAAAGTAGGGCTATGACCATGTTGGGTTTTAGCACAGCAACTTTGCTAGAAAGCAGGCTAGAACTGGGTTTAAGGAAATATATGGAAGGGCATTGTGTACATTAAGTTAACTTTGACACGTTCTTTCCACTTATATACACTATATAAAGAAGGTAATTTTGATTGAAATGCCCCCACTCAGTGATGTGGTCTCTGGTTTTGTTAGTTTCCATGATATGATCAATCCTTCAAGGCTTCAATACCTGAAAGTAGTGAAGGGTCCAGGATTTCTAGAAAGTGGTGTCACCAAATAAGTAATAACGGAAAAAAATTACAATTGTCCCAGATGTGTTTTCATATTTGAAAATTTACATAATCCCATGATTCACATCATGGATAACACTATTAAATACATAACTAGTAACACAATCATATATATAATCACAGAAGTGACTTCAGTCCATAGATTACTTAACGTACATGCCAAGGGAGCTCTAACTCCTTATCCATACATGAAAAATTATAAGTTACGACAAAAATATCATCAACATGGATTTTGCATCTTGTTGGGGAAGTGGTGTCTTCAAGCGACACCACTTCACATAGGGTGGATCCGCCACTGGCTAGAAGTAGAAGACAACATTCAAATTTTAAATTACGCATGTCTAAAGTAATAAGGTTGGGTGTACATAAGATCAGTCTCTGTTGAATCCTTCTTGACCTAGAGTTATGCTCCATAGGTGACTCCAATAATCCAATTTAACATGAGATGGGTTCGATAATGACGTTGATGTCATCAAAATATTTGTCATTAACTCAAAACCTAATTCTGATTTCCTTGGATTCATGGATCATATATTTGCACTAGAATTTGTGTGAACACATTGTTTCTTGACAATACAATTTCTTGATATCATTGGATCATGTTTTGATAAGTTTAAAATTATTGTAATTGAACTGCTACTTTACTATGGATCCAAAGCTTATCCTATTTATTTAAGACCAATTAAAATATTTTATCATTTTCTTAATGCAGATTGCAAATGTTATTGTAGAAACGTTGCCAATATTACATATGTTCATTAATTGATGATGGGATGAGGGTTGTTGGAGTCATCATTTGGCTCACTGAGGCATTCCCGTGCTTACCTGTTTATTATTTACAATTTGAAATATGACACCATGATTTGTTGTGGAATTTTGGTGCTCACAGGTCTGATTTCTTAGCATATTCAATTCATTAGTTTAGTGTTTGGGCAAGTTCAAGCAAAGCAATTGATGTGATACTGAAGCTATTAGATTCACAATTTTTTTTTTCTTTTTTTTTTAAATTGTATACTATGGGTGAAGCAGCAGGCGGAATTCAGTAGAGATGTCCGCTGTGACTTATCCTCTTGCTGGTTATAATTTATTATAATAATGTTAATTATACATTTATACCATATGGAATTACAGTGAATTGAAGACCAAAGAAAAAAAAAATGTAGTGGTTCTTGAGATGAATCGAAGTTTTTTCCCTTCTAATTGTATAAAATCTCAAAAAGTTACCCAAACTATGTTACAACTTGATGGAAGATGGATTTCTGCAGGGCTAGCTTGTATGTCTGGCATGTCTTCTAATAAATCATGATTGGTGTAGATATGTTCTTTCTATCCTTCAATCGAACTTCGCAACTCGTACACTGTAATAATCTCAAGATACTTCATATATCATGTTTGTAGATAGATGAACTATTTTCCCCAAAGCGAGGAGAGCAAAATACCATGCCATGTTGCTTTCATCCATTGTAGTTATGTAGGAGATTAACAATCTTTGTGATGTTGGTTGCATTAAGACCGGTTGTTAACTTGAAATGGAAAGAATTAAGAAAATAAAATACATCTTATTTTCTTAATCATGTAGCATCCGCTGCAAGAATGCTAGAAGTGTTAAAATCATAGTGTTTTAACAGTGTTAACAAAATGATAGCTGCTTATACTTTATTTATTTATTATTATTTTTTCCATCTTTTTTATCATTATTATTTTTGTACTAGAGAATGTTACTCAGGATTTCTGGAGAGTTTGGCAACCGTGGCGTTTTTGTCGTTTCTGTTTTTTTTCAACAAAAACAAAGAAACGCGTTTGGCAATCCGGGCGTTTTTTTGACTTGTCCCTTTACAAAATCTAAATATTAAACATTTTTCTCAAAACACAAAAAATGTGTTTTGAGATTCCGTTTTTTTATCTAAGCCG